TTCAGATTCAGAGATATAGTTGCCATATGAGATGCACCGTGAAGGTTATTATGACTTCGATGCAGCCGAGGATACATTTTTTTCTTGTTTGCACTTATACTGGTAAAGCCCTTTCCCTATCTAGAACTAGTCTCAATTTGAATGCTAAACTTTCCCAACACAATCAAAATCACATTTCCACAAAATAAGTTTAAAAGCTTCCCCATATCCTATAAATATGATTTTACTGTTGTAGGTTGTGAACCCGACAGGTCATTGCCGGTCACTAGTCGTCTTGTCTTAACGTCCATTTCCATGCTCTCGTGAACTCATTCGGTTTTAAACATTTACTTCTTAATAAGAAAATTATATTTACAGTGCGTTCAAAAAATTACGTTTTAATTTTCCAAAGATAAGGTAGCGTTTATGGGGAAAATTGTTGTATTTATAGAAAATACGCGTATATTGTTTTGTTGCAAAAGTTACAGAGTCTGCTCCTTGGATTCGGACCATTGTCTTCTTGCAGTATCCAATCATGGTTATTTTTGCCGTAAATCATTTCAGGGTTGACTTCAGTAAATCACTTTTATACAACTTTATCATTCTAACGGTGTTCAGGTTTTCTGTGAAGCACCTCAAAACCCCAAATTCATGAGCAGAGATTTATCTGCTTAACACTCCTTTGAATAAATATTTGTATTTTTCTTAACCAAACATATATCAAAGTTGACTCATCTGTAAACATTACATTGGTCCAATCACGGTTGATTTTTTTTTTGCACTCAGTGTAATCCTTTTAAGATGCATGTGTTTATAAGTAGGGGTATGATTACACTACAGCTGCTACAGATATCCTTGGTTGCGTAAGAATCTTCTCATTTTCACTATCTTCGCCCAAAGTATCTGCATGATTTGCCTTGTCATCTATGTACTTGTATACTGTATATGTGGTTGAACTTCTCTTTTTATCTATGGTATATGGTACGTATATGCCCTCAACTTATCGGAAAAATTTGGGGACCTCCAACTATTAAGTCGTCACCGAAGTGCTGATGAATTTTATTAGAATTTTCTCGGAACAGTGGACTGACTTTCGAAATTTTCCGACCTAGTACAGTATAGACTTAGTCCTTTATTTTATATATAGTTTTAATTCGATTATTGCAAAACTAATCGGTTCACTGGCCGATAAATCGAAGAGAAAAGTGATCATAATCCAGAAATCTGCCTATTTATGCCGTTCAATGTATTTATTAACATGTATGTATATACTTATTTATATATCGAGGTGGACCAGAAACATTTGATTTTCTATATATCTAATGACTCGTAATGGCGGAGTCATTTGAAAACGAGCATATTGCGAACTATATACAGGTTGGTCGAAAAGTTTCTGCTCTCAAAATGAAAAATAATGTTTTTGGTCCGAAATATATTTCTTTATTCAATATAATCTCCCTTAGCTTCCATACACTTATTTTATGATTCTCCAACAATTTTATGCCATCCCTATAATCACTTTCCGGAAGCTCTGCAAAATACCCGTTTACGGCTATAATAGCTTCTTCATTCAGGTTTCTGAAGAAGTAGTAGTCGCTGGGAGCCAAATCTGTTGAATACGGTTGTTGTTCAAACAATTCGTACTTTAAATTCAAAAAAAATTATTCATAAACTTCCTTTCCTTTTAAACCTTTCAAAACAAAGAACCTAATCACTACGTGATATTGAATTTTTTCCATATACAAAAAATACTCTAACACGTCAACTTCAAATGGCTTGTAAACAAAGAATTAATTGGCAGAATGACTTGTAACTTTGCATGTGTTCTCACGACAGACGTACCAACTTGAGATAAAATTTGGAGCTAGTAGTGCTATTTCTTGATGATAGCAGACACTTCACAACCAACCTGTACACGTGTTAAGGACAGGAGTGAGTTACGAAATATTTATATTATTTCCATTGTTTTCATTGAGGTGGCAGTTGCACGCCAGGCTATTTTCAAACACGTACGTAACTCACGACGCTATCGCCGACGTCGCTAACACCGTTATCGCGGTGTATTCTTAGAATTTACTTAAATCCAGCCAACTGAAGTATGGGTGCTTTGGCGCTAAAATGACTAGTAAGCCGGCAGCTAGGCAGGCACCTATGGGATCAGTAGCGGAGAAAATAAAACAAATTTCTGCGCTAGGTGCTTGGTGGGCTGGCTATTGACCATTTGGGCGACAATATTGAATACTATTCGTGCTGCATACTATTTTTTGCCGCATTTGCAAGGTGTGTGTTTGTTGTTTTTGTTTTCATGTTGTTCGTCTTTGCATTTGCGGACGCGGTAGTTATGTTCAAAGCTCGTTTTGTTGGTTTGTTGTAGTTGCGCATTCGTCGATTACATTTTGTTTTAAAATTTCGTTTACCTTACTTTCATTCATAAAGCTTTTAACAGAAGCCAAGCCAACAATAACAAGCGCTCGAAAATTCACGTAGGTACAGCTGAGTTCAGGCCGCAAAGAGATTGAGCCTCTATAAGGTTTGCAGGCCGTTGTGTGTGTGGTAGCATTGTGGGTGGGTGACTTTACCCCATTGGTCTCGAGTTGTTTGTTTGTGTGTATGGAATCTTTTGAATTGAATTTATTGCTAGTTGTAGCGCTTAGTTACTGTTTCTCGAGCGTAAAAAGACGAGTGCGCTAAATCTTAAAAGCACATTTCAAGCAAATGTGGGCCTAGGGTTGCCCCGTTGCGTATGCGATTTGGAAAGTAGTGCTAGCAGTACTGGAAATAGTTAAAGTTGAATGCTTTTCAGGAAATATACAACACATATACATACATATGTATTTGAATCACCTACGAAATCGTTTTCATCTCGTGTGCGTGTGGTCTTGCTTACTGCTGGTGAAATTCGCAATTTCTTCCATGTTTGGCTTTGAAAACATTTTTTAGGAAAGATTATAATTTACTGGTAAAGAAAAGAAGCTGACACTTCTTCGATATCTATTTTTCTTACGAAAAAAGTACATCAAACTATATATATAATATAACTAAAAGACAAAGTTTGTATGTATGTTGCTTATAAACTCCGAAACGGCTGGACCGATTCCAATGAAATTTTTGTACGGTCTTAACGATGGCCCAGCGATATTCCACCATTTTTTTGGAAGTATAAACAATATGACCATAGTAATTTAACTAAAATTAACTCGAAGAGGGAGCCATTATTAACATATGAACACAATACTATTTAAAATCGGATTAGACTTGCTTGAAAAGGTAAAATAGAACTGCAACAAAATATGAAATGCCTTAAACTGGCAGACAATTTCAGCACTATTGTACACGGAATAAAATAATTAATTTGCAGGACGATCTCATTAATTTCGAGAAATGTTAGGGATATATCTTGTTGAATCCTGTTACTTGTCAACTGAGATGGGTTCTAATTGCATATCGGAGGAATTCAATTATTGGCATACCCTTAAATTGATTAATCTGTGTAATGTAGTGCATTGCATCACTTACAAAAGGAACTTTAATTTTTAGTTTAAATTTTGGTATCAATATTCCCTCTAATAGATTTATTAGACGCAGGTAACCTTATATTTCCAAACCTTCAAAAGGGCGATAACCCTTGGAGATATATATATATATATATATATATATATATACTACTACTACTACTATATTCGTACGGTTGTTTTTCAAAACGTTTATTTAAGAAAAACATATAAAATAGTATTATTCACGAAATAAGCTAAAACATTTCTAATCTATCGGGCAATTTTTGGATTCTATTCCAAAATAACGGTGTAGACTTGGTGGCCAATGAATAAATCAAACCAAGTTTTGGTATTCTGTTCTTATATGAACCGTGTTGCAGTGAGGACATTCTGCATCGACCAGAACAAATTCCATTCAGAAGACTTAAGGTCTGGGCTATAAGGCGGATGAAACAAATCTTCCCAACCTAGCAAAATGTAGCCGAGCGTTATCGTGATGAAAATCTACTGCATCATGTGTAGGTGCAAATTCCAGCCGTTTTTCGGCAATCGATCGCCTTAATTTGATTAATTGATATCGGTAACGTTTTCCATTAATGATCTCAACCGGCTTTAAAAGCTCATAATGTAGCAGGCCCTTCTTATCGACAAAATACGGATCATTTTCTTGGCGTCATGAACATTCGACTTTTCCGTTGATTTGGCTGGTTGACCTATATGATTATTTGCGTATAGGGTTGAATGATGGATTCATCGAGTAATACTTCAAGTTTCTCATCTTTAAACATTTTTGGCCGCCCAGGACGTTTTTCTTCTTCCAAGCCAAAATCACCACTTTTATATTGTCACTTTTGGTGCGTTCGCTCAGCTAGAGAATGTTTATATTAAAGTAATGAATAAGAACTCCCTGGAAAAATACTTTTTCAGGCACAAAGCTAGACATATTTCAATCACATATGCTGAATAACCCTACTGACAAGGACGGTAACTTTTTAATGAATTTTCGGAATGTTGGAATAATGGAATAATACTCAGTTTACGCTCTTCTCTCTCTCTTGGACAACCGCACGAATATAGTTTAGATCCAATAGATCGGTCGGTATTTGCTTAAAAATAGGCCGCATTCTTGACTTAGCCTCTTCCTTGCGTGCCAGCTCACCAAGGGTTTCGAAATATTTGACGCACTATAGATGGCTTAAGTGCAATCGTGCTATAAAACCTCTATTAATTAACGTCCCACTCCAAAAACCCAACCAGCCCATTCCATTGGATATGCTTCGGGAGCTTTTAGTGTTGCTTAGTTTTCATTTTGATGTTATCTGCTCATTATATCCGTAATGGTATGCTAAAACAAATATCGCACGATGTGTGCTTTGCAACTTGGAATTAATTACCGCATCAGATGATTGCTTAAAGAGTCATTGTCATTTTATATTAATTAGCTTTTAGCTTGCTTTAGAAGACAATGCAGAATACAAGTTTGCGTTTTCGTTCATGCTGTCGTATTTCTTTTTGTTACATTTGCAGATTGAAAAACGTGACAGATACAATACCAAAGAAAAAAAGCAAAAACAAAACAAATAATAACAAATAACCAATACATAAAGGAAGAAAGCAAAAGAGAATATAAAAAATACAAAATACAAAATCACCCTCTTAACGTTGTACTTAGCACCCAATCGGGCTTAAACTAGATTCAGTTATTTGAAACTTCTTAACGAATTAAACCAAAAAAACAAAAACTGAAAAAATTTTCAAATTATTAAAACAGATTTATATAGTTACTTTTTGCGTCGCCTTATAAAAACTAATCGCACATAATCGTACATATACACACACATATATACATATATATACAAGCTACTGTACTCGTATATGTGAAAGCGGAGAGAAGCAGAGCAAAAAAAAAACAAAAAGTATACGAAATTCACGATAACAAGAAAAACATATAGCAGAAGAGAACACATAACCCGAGCAGTGTGAAGCGAGAGAGAAACCGCGGACCAACCGCGGCAGATTATGTCACGAGACGATTACAATCCTGTAACTAGCTCTGGTGTTCGTAGCCCGGGTCGCTCAAGGCGGCTCACGGAATTGCCAACTGTAGATCGATCGCCATCACGAGACTACGGTGCACGTGGAAGTCCCCTAGGTGAAGACCAATTTTAAAAGTGATATTTCCAGGCAATTAAATTATTGGTTAATTACTTAAACTTACAGACAGATATGTATGTATAATTTGAGATATTTTCGTATTTTGAGTTGTAGCCGCTGATAACAAATATGAGTTGAGACCAGAGCAAAATCCAAACAGAGCAATTATGATTTTATTGAAGCAGGGTTTTAAGGCAAGACTGTACACAAGGCAAATTTGAGTTTAACTAGTCATTAAATTACACTTAGTATACTATTAAGATATCTATTAAGAGTATTGAAGCTTAAGCAATAGCATACGAAGAAGTTGTGTTATGTTAAGTTGCTAGTTCATTTGCACCTGACACGACAGATCTTCTGGTTTTCTCCGCATATATCTTTGAAATTAACATATTATTATGGACTGTGCAACAGGAATGGTAAAGAAATCGAATTTTGTTGAACTTTATCGGCTCTAATATGTATTTTCGATCCGTTTATAAGTCAAAAATGAGAGAGCGAGTATACTAAATTACCACGAAGTTTGTAACACCCAAAAAACAACATCGGTGGCCTTAGAAAATTAATATGTAAATGATCAGCATGACGAGCTGAGCCGATTTAGCCAAGTCCGTCTGTCTGTAAGTATGTCTGTATATATATAAACTAGTCCCTCAGTTTTGAAGGAAAATGAAATTTTGTACACGTCCTTTTCCGCCGATATCGGACCACTATGGCATATAGTGTCATACCAACTTACCGATCAAATCAAGTTCTTGTATGGAATCTTTTTATTTTTAAGCGGTATCCGAGCTTCAGTGCAACCGATGTCAACATTTTTTTCTCGTGTTTTCTAAACTGTGAGCGCTATAATTGGCGTGTTCGATTCGTTACGACTCTGCTTGCTAGGTTTGAACTCTACTCTCTTTAAAAAGATAGCATGGAAAAGCAAAAGGGAAATCCGATAGCACAAATCTATCTGAATGCCTTCTACTTCGTGGTATTAAATATTTAGTAATAAGGACCTCTATATGCCTTCTCCCTCATTAAGCAAAATTGGTTGCCACGATTTCTACAATAACTGTATGACCTAGTCTTCAGATTTATATTCGTCTGTACTGAATATTCTCAAAAATAAGCTAAATTTGCTCGACATTTGGACGAAAATAACGTTAAACACATATCGACTTATAACGTTATTTTATAGTCTTCTTCTAATGGCTTAACAATAATTAGTACGAAATCTAATTGAAGAGTCAGTGGAATTTTGTACTACTTACAGCATGATGTAGAAGTGATTCTGCTTGAAGCCTTTAAGTTTTACTCAACTACAACCTTAGCTCGCTTTCATTGATAGAAACTTGAATTCATTTTCTCTTGCTAAATTTGGTTGTACTTATTGACAGAGCAATCACTTTTCAAAAGGTTTCGATTTAGCATTTTCAAATAGATATTTCCAGTTTTAAGTGTAACAACAATTTATTTTGCTCAACTGAAGATTTAAAAACCTTGCTACAGAGTATAATAGTGTTGTTCACCTAGCCGTTTTTTGTATCACCTAAATCTAATCGAGACAGATATAGGGTTATATATATAAAATATCAGGATGAAGAGACAAGTTGAAATCCACTGCCACGCCTAAAAATCAAAATTAAACGAAAACCTATAAAGTGCCATAACTAAGCAATAAAAAATATTTAAACTGCAATTGGGCACAGGGGATCGCAGTAGCAAGGGTCACCTGTGGGCCAAAAATTAAAAAAATGGGCGTGGTCCCGCCCTATTAGAGGCTTAATGTACAAATTTCCTAAACCATTAAAGCTATTTTAATCAAATTCGCTCAGGACAAATCCCTTAAGCAGCTTTACCAACGCTGTGAAATCGGATGATAATCCCGCTCACTCCATATATAACGGTTCTGTGAAAGGTGTCAAAATTTGACACGAATATAAATTTCATCTGATTCTTTCACTTTCCAGTATACAAATTAAGCACCAATGAATTGATCGGGATGACATTTTGCACGAATACTGCCTTTGAAGTGTGCCAACTTGTGACTGAAAATTATAAAAATCGGACCAAACCTGTTCAAGCCCCCAGGTACCGAATACATGGACCCCAGTTGCTATTGTGACCTTTTTATTGAAAATATCGGTCAATCTGTGGGATATATTGAGATATATTAGAGAATCTCAAAAATAATCGCTTTCTGATAATAACATGCCAGTGTGCCAAAAATGGGTTGAATCGAATCACTAATTCCGTTAGTCTCCAATAGAAAAATTTTCAAATTTGAAGAAATTGAAAGAGCGTGTTTTTTTATTAACAATATAAATATCTTTGTGCAGAAAATGGGTAAAATCGGGTGAAAACTTTCCTTAGCCGCCAATTCAAGATTTTAAAACATCCGGTTGACATTATCCCGCACATATTTTTGATGGTATGTGAGGTACCTTAATGAAACTCAGATATCAGCTTTGTCTGTGGTAATGGCAAAAATATATAAAAGTGTTTCAGTACAACCCATATCTCTCATATACCTAATATAAGATATTCAAATTTCCGATTGGCTTTATGCCCTACATATAATGACTTCGTTATTCTAACAAACGCTATGCTGAATATATCGATCAGTGTATCAGTTATATATATTTATAAAATTGCTTGAAAATAGCTTAACGCTGAATATTAGACCTTGGTCCAAACCTCATATCCTTAATATAATCAATTCCGATACTCTGGTTTACGTTTTGCACATCAACTCAATATATTAAATTTAGCGTTTTCTGTTGAGTTTGTGTCAGATATATCTTATTTTAAAATGATTTTAATGTAAGAAAAATCATTTTATGTAGTTGAATGGTGGTCCATATTATCCTCAATATATCAATCCGGATATTTTTTGATATCCTTAAAATAAAGATCAGAAAATATGATTTCTCCGATATTGGAAACAAATTTAAAATGCATATGCCAATACTTTTGAAACCCAGTGCGATTCTGACAAACGTCAAAATTTGTTGTGAGAAATGGTTGTCAGAAAATGCGTACCTTTTGATGGAGAAAACATTATATGGACATGTGGTCTTCTTTTATGCTCCTCCAACTTTCCACTGCAAAGTAAAATAATTCTCAAATGTTTGTAGTACCATTTGTCGAGATCCCAAAGTCATGATGTAAAGATGTAAGGGCCGGTCTATTTCAAAGCGCTATTAAATTGTAGAAGTGCAACAAATACTCCCTAGAGTGATAACGCCTACAATATTTAGACAACGGTGCGCTTTCACTCTGGTAATTGCACGTGCTTTAACTTCTCTGCTCCTGTCGGGAAGTACAAAAAGAGGTAAAAGAGGACGTATAGAGAATTAATGGCGAATTTGATTGAAATTTTTAATTGAGCATCTAAATTAAAAGTAATTATGTATACAATATTTACTGTCATATATTTTCCATACAAACGCATGCACACGTGACCGTGCGCTTTTGCTAGTGTATTACGTTGTTCGCTTTCACGCGCTACGAGATTTTGCAGTAAGGTCATGAATCAATATGCATAAACACACACACGCACATACAAAATTTATTAAAGCCCATTAAAAGTGATTTCCGCCATACAACATGTGTATGTGTGTACTTTTTGCACATTTGACCTCGCCGCGTGGCATGGCAATGATTGTTTCAAAAATATATGAACGTAAAATATGCATATTTATATTGGAAATTTTATTAACTCGTAAAAATAATACGAACCTCTTATGTATGTGTGGGTATTTATGATATATACGTAATTGCTTACGTGCAACAGGGAACACATGGAATTGGCTTGTCACGTTGTTTCAATATAACGGAATTCAAATATTTTACTTACCGTTAAAATGCAAATATCTTTGCGACACTGACAGTTATAAATTGCACAACAACAGTTTTCAAAATATTAAATTACTATTAATGTACAATTTATAGCAATTAATTTAGTGGATATTTTATTTCCTCTCATTTTCATTTATGTCTATTTTATCAAATTTACTGATGGCGGAGTTTATAGTGAAAATGAAAGTAGTGCACTTACATAAATGATGAGATAATAAAGAATGCATGTGTATGTATATATACCGATCTTTATATATATTTCCTGTTCTCTGAATGGAAATACTCAAAGCAATCTTCAGAAAAACTCCATAAACCATATATATAAATAAATAACTCTTTTAAACCACTTCTTCTCTGTTCTCCTTTGGCTTTTTATCTGATCAATATCAAATCTTTTGGACCACGAGAATAGAAGCCAATTAAGACTATGGAACGGATGAGGTATCAATTTTTAGCATTTAATAAATGTAAGCTGTTCTTTAGTAGTTTAATTTGCCCTCAAAATAGTAATTTTCCACTAAAAGTTAACAAGGACATCCAAGTATATAGTTATTTTGCAATTTTAAGCACCAAGTCATTGTCTCCAATAATAATTTCCAAACATTTCATATTCTTCCGAATCTGGCTCTACTTAGCTTCGCCATAAGCTCTGTTACAAGTTCAGGTCGTTATCAAAATGAAACTATTGTACGATTTTTAGTAAAGTTAATTCTGTTTGATAATGCTTATATTAAATGAGCGATGTAGAAAATTTTAAGCGAAATGATCACCTCTTGCTTTGACGACGCTGCTTTAAACAAAGATTTTTTGAGACCCTCCAAGTATAAAACAGGTCATGTTCTCTAACTCTGGCCACAAACTGTGGTCCAATGGATTCAAATCAGACCTTCTATACGGCCAATCACCTGTAGCTATTAAACCATGAATATTGCTTTTAAGAGACTTTTGGGTGGTTTTTACCTTGGGTGCTGGAGCAGAATCTTGATAAAAGATCCAAAGCTCTCCTTCAAAGAGAGCTTAATTGCTTTCCCACGATTTCTAAAACATCCTGTTACTAGACTTTTGTTCCAGTTTGAATGCCTTTTCAAGGTGTAACGCCTTTACAGGAGACTCCCCTCAAAACCATTACAGCAGCTAGATGGTGATCAAGTTAAACTGTTTGCATATTAAAACTTCTTGAACACTGATGAAGCTGCTTGCATCTGTTAAGTCAAATTTGCTTCAAGTGCGTTGTCAGAAGATGAACAGTTGGCCGACGTTACGCTTTCATGTGGAGATTATTTCAAATAAGTCTTCTCATTGATCTGGTGTATGTATCCATTTCCCTTGAAATAACTTTTTTCTAAGGAGATTTTTTCAAATGCCTTCGTGAACAGTTTTTATGGCTGACTTGGTTCTAATTACGCGACGACGACGGGAAAAACGATCAATAGTTTGGCAAACAAACGTTCTCGAAATATTAAGATTTTTGTGAAACTCATAAATTTCACTTACACTTTTTTCACACTTATGTAAAGCAATCACTGCAAGACGATTTTCATCAGCTCCCCGTTCTATTGTTAATAAGCGAAAGCAAACGCAAAACTGATTATTAAATAGGAGTAGACTGCAGTAGACTGCATATAAATTATAGTAAGAAATAATGACGAATTTATGACAAGACTAAGTATGATGGTTTTAAGAACAGTTATAAATGTATATTCACATATGTATAATTATTAAATATGTATAAATTAAATCAACTTCGCTCTAAACTTTCGCTATCAGTAAAATGTTAAAGTATATATTAATGTATAATAATATTGTTTTTGTTGCTTACAATAGTTATACATAGAATAATTGCTACGTAGTCAAGTAAGAGTTTTCGCAGTCGTTTACTTTTAAGTTTAAATAAATATTTCTAATTAAACTATTGTATTATTATTATTGATTATTGTATATGAACTTAAACTCGTACATTTTAATTTATGGTATTGTTTTCTTTGAATAACAACGATTGCAAACTTGAACCTAATATTCATTTTATCTTACATCACGCATGCGCATGAAACATTTTTCTGTTGCATTTATCATCGCTTGGCGCATACATTAACGTTTTTCGTTTCGATTTCATTTCATTAATTATGTGACAATTTGTTGCCAACTAACACACGAACACACATCCACATTGAAAATGCCAACTTTCGTTATTAAATGTAGTTTAGAAGTAGTCAAAAATTCCTTTCCGAGATAAATTAGAACGCGTTGGTTTGCTGCAAGGCGTGCCACATACACTTCGCCATACACTTATATAACTGTTCCTTTGTTGTGTCGTAACAAATTAAGGCGGCAAACTGGATTACAACTATGGTTAGTAAAATACATATACGAACCCAGCCATTCATACATTAGCCAGCCTTTACATATCTTCACACACATAGATGGACCACAAAAACTTAACATTTTTTCTTTTGTACCGTGAAAATATCGTCCGAAATGACGAAAAAAGGTTGGACTTAGACCTCGAATAACTTTTTAACGAGTCCACTCAGTAAAAAAAATTAAATTTTTGTATATCGGTAAATTCCCGACAAGAATAAGTTTTCAGTTTTACTATACAATGATTTGTTCAAATGCAATAAATTTCCAAACAAAATCAGAAAATACTCCTGTGGGGTTATATGGGAAATAAAAATATAAAAAGCTGAAACTCTATCAGATTTTGTTTTTCTTCATTTCGGATGATACTTTCATGATATCTAAGGAATAAAAGATAAAAAAATTGTTGGCCCACCCATCTGACACTTAAGAACTCCAAATTAGATAAAATGAAGTATAATTTGGGGGGAGTAGGGTTAATTGGAGTAAAACAAAGCCCATTTTTTGATACTTTTTTATGTAACAGTTAAAATGTATTTTTAAAAAGCAATAATATATTAAATTATGATGTTTGAGGAATATTCTGTTAAATTTTCATGGATAAATATTAAAAAAAGCGGCAATGGCAGCAATTATATTAGGCGTCGCGGAAAAAAATTGGCTTTCGGTGTCCCTCCTAATTCGGTGTTGAATATTTGAAAATCCAAAAATCAAAATCATATCATTAGATAATCGCTTTGCCCAGATAATGCTGAGGGGTTTTCCCAAATTTAAATGTTTCACTTTTTGGGAACATTTTGAAGGAAAGAACGAAATTTTTTGTGGAAAATTATTAACCTGTAAAATTAAAAAATATTATTAAATTCGAGAAAAAAAACTTGTACACTAAGTACATGTGATGTAAAAGGCAGATACAAAAAAAAATACATATCTTCGTCAATGTTGCTCCAATCAAATTGAAATATTATGCATTTATTCAAGACAAAAAAAAAATCGAAGTAAATGTAATTCTACTCGCCCCTCAATCTAAAAAGTGATCACAATTTTGCTTCAGTAAGTTGACCATCTCGCCTGGTGTGTTCTTTTCCACCTTTCGGTTGCACACCTTACATCTTAACTCCGCAGTTTTAATTCTAATATGACATGCGACACAGTAATTCGATCTTAATTATACATAAGGTTTCTTAATTATCAGTCCTCATTCATAGTCAAATAGAATTTGGAACTAAATAAGTTGTAATGCAAGCATAGGCGTGTTAGGATCAGATTTCACGCTTGAAATGGGCTCTATGGTTTGAGCAAAGAAAGGCTTCTATTAAATAAATTTTCATGTTTTCGAAGCACTTAATTTTTACTATTTTGCATTTGAGATCCTATATCAGTTCAATTCCTATCATGAGCACTGTCCTCGCAAAAATCTTCAATAGAAAAGATTCTTAGCATAACCTTGACGATTTCTACAGACAAAAATTTGATTTCATTGAATATTTTTCTGGAACTCTCTAGCCCTCCTTTAGTCCTCTTAAATGAAGAAACTTATGAGAGTAAAGATTCATATTCTTATACACATTCTTGTATATATACATATGTATACGAGTATATTGTGTGGGTTAATTACTTCATATGGCAACTTACTATAGAAATAAAAAATTTAAAAAAACGAATATAAAAAACGAAATTATATTTTTTATATTTGTCAAGGCCAATGTATTGGTTCCCCATCACTTTCTCCAATAATTAGATATAATCCGGTAAGCATAGTAAATCAGATAGTTCACATATTAATCATCGAAAATACTTGTATGAGGAGTTACTCATTGTGCTACTTAATATTATCAGCAATTTTTGATTGATGCTACAGCCCCCGAACAAATTTTAGCCAAGTCGATGCTTCTCCTAAAATGGAGGAAAAACATGAAAGGTCTAACAAAACCAAGTACTTATTGTTCGCTTGGTCAATTTTGCTTCCAGCGAGGGCTCTTATCGAAATAATAAAATAACTGTTTGCATACAATGTTCCTATAAAGTAGAACCCGATAATACCGCTCTATCGTTCCACACACTGTTATTCATTGCATGTCCAGCAATCCCAAGCCAATAATTTGAATATCCAGAGGGAGGTCAAACAAGTAGTTTTCCGTAGACAAACACGCACGTTGGAACAAACTTAAAAACAAATTTATACTTGTTCATTACATTTGAAGATAACGCTCACAGTACAGGAAGAGTTCAATGCACACCCATCACATGAGCATTGCCAACGCGCGCACGTACACACACTTACTGCTTTTTTCAATTAGTCAAAATGTAAAAACTGTATAGAGAACTCGTAGTGGCCTATTTTTCTTTCAGTGCTCCGTTAATATTCCATTAATTAAAAGCCTTCTGTTTTGTTGCGAAATTTCATCAACCAGCAACAATATACTCATACTCGCACAAACATAGAAGCGTTGCCATATATATTTGAATATAATTTTCATTTAGCCTTTAAAATTTTAATTTTATTTATTACTCTCACACACATTAAAATATTTTAATATTTTGAAAGCGATCATTTAAATGCTTTGACACGTACTAGCAATTCCAAAAAAATGCGATAAGTCCCCAATGCACAGTTTATTTTGATACGTTACCTAGTTCCACACTGAATCACCCATCCAAGTCCTAAAATCGCAAGAAAAATCCTTTACCAGCGAACACCAGCAAATGACACCGCTTACTACCAACCACTAACCACCGACCACCGACCATGACCACATCCATAGTCCTCTCACAATCACTTTTCTCTACTCTCACGTATCACATCCCTTAGCCACATCACCCTCATTATTATCATCGTCATAATTGTGTGAATTACAGCAATGGGCAGTCCATACTATAGAGACATGGATGAGCCAACAAGTCCAGCCGGTGCGGGCCACCATCGGAGTCGGAGTGCCAGCAGACCGCCGATGTCACATGCCATGGATTATCCAAGTAATTAAATTATATTTTTTACACTCCAAAAATTTGGCAATTTCGCAACATTAAGTTGATGTTAACTGGGCCGTAAAACCTGAAAATTTCATAACAGCTGAAGACCGTTGCTTATTAAACCCAAAATGTGTGGTAATTTTCAACTTAATGTGAGATATTTGTCTGTATTTACTTGAATATACCTTAGAAAGGGAGAATTTGCTAAAAAGATTTGGCTTGTAATTTTCTTTTGCACAGGAACACGTTACCAGTCGCTGGATCGCGGTGGCTTGGTTGATCCACACGATCGTGAATTTATACCCATACGTGAGCCACGCGATCGCTCACGTGATAGGTCGCTTGAGAGAGGATTGTATTTGGAGGACGAGTTGTACGGACGTTCGGCGAGGCAAAGCCCGAATCCTATAGGTAAGTGCTTTAAAATGTGATAGTCATCTAATTTTGATTCTACGAACGAAGGCCCTCAATCATATCTTGAAATTATATTGAAAATATCTTTAAAAAATATTTACGTATTTATATAGAATTACACAAAACAACAATACCGACTGTACTCTATATGATTTTGATTACTTCAGGTTATCAAACGGGGTTACCATCATCGGATCGAGCGTATCTGGGCGATCTACAGCATCAAAATACCGATCTGCAGCGGGAATTAGGTCAACTTAAGCGAGAGTTAGAACTGACAAACCAAAAGTTAGGTAGTTCGATGCACAGCATAAAGACGTTTTGGTCGCCGGAGTTAAAGAAGGAGCGAGCGTTGCGTAAAGAAGAGAGCGCCAAATACAGTTTGATTAATGATCAGCTAAAGTTGCTGAGCACGGAAAATCAAGTAAGAAATATTATACTCAATGCGGTATACGTACCATTTCAAAATTCTAATAGCAGTAGCTTTAGGAGTTGTAGAGTCATTCTTTATTAAGTGCATTCACATAAGTATTCTTCCGGCTTATAAATGACGCTGATCTTGATCTTGATATGTATTCTTACTATTTTTCCTAAGAAACAAGCGATGTTGGTGCGTCAGTTGGAGGAGGAGTTGCGAATGCGCATGCGTCAGCCTAACATTGAAATGCAACAACAAATGGAGGCTTTGTACGCGGAAAACGATCATTTACAGCGCGAGATCAGCATATTACGTGAGACAATTAAGGATCTTGAGTGTCGCGTGGAAACGCAAAAGCAAACTCTCATTGCGCGAGACGAAAGTGTCAAGAAATTATTGGAAATGTTGCAAACCAAGGGAATGGGTGAGTAGTAATAAAATATAGATTAGAGTTCGTATGCATAAATCAGAATCTTGCTTTAAAGCGTTTACTGTAAATTGCTATGTAGTTTATATTTCAACATAAACACCAAAGAACATTTAACTTTTTGTGGAAAACCTGAATATTAATGGTAATTAGTTCCTTAGCTACATTTAGGTTAGATACAATTATTTTTTATAAAAAAATATTCGGTGCCGCACTGAGGTATACAAATTAACATAGGTCGTTTGAAACACTGCTGAAGAGAAGAAGAAAACTAAAAAGACAGTATGATCAATCATAAAAATTTGAGACGAGAACTTTTAGAACAGTTAGAAATATATTATATAGTATAAGGCTTGCATTTCACAAGATCTTCAAAATATTTGAATATAAATTTGAATATCCTTCACTTTGCTTCCGAGGCTTTCGGGTTCCTTTTATTGGAATTACAGTTTTACGTGGCGGGCCCTAAACCCAGCGTCACAACTCCAGCTGGGGAGAAAGTATATTTGATTAGCCGCACCTCCTAGTGGACAGCCACTGCAGCCATAAAGCCTCCTTCCCTTTTACCCTGAATTCCACACGTGTTGATTACAGCATCTTACTCAATGTTGCTCACATTTCCCGAGGTGCTGAGCGTAAACGCGGGAGTAGAGATTGAGTACGGTAGCTCACATCCCATTTATATCCCCACCCTAGAGACCAATATCCAGGCTGTTAAAAATTATGTTTGAGGGTAATCAAAAGAGAGTAGAAAGAAGAATAGATGCTGACTAAAAACGCGGGATAATCATCTTTTAGGGAAGTATTTTAAAGTGTACGAACACTAAGAGTTTTTTTACTACGTAGGATAATAAAATACACATAATTAGTTTTTTAAATTTTCTTTCAGGAAACTTTATTTTCCAACATGATTTAGGCAATTTTTCGAAAGATATGCTTTTATTTAACCACTTAGATCATTTAACATTATCCGTTTTCAATATTAATATTTGTTCACATAAGGCGGACTGAAATTTTGCAACGCTTGAGAAAAAGGGATTTTATTCTGCTCTCTAATCCTACAAAAGCTTTTCAGAAACATTCCATGATGCACTTTAACTCATTTACATATTCACATCACCTTTAGAATTAAACTTGGAAAAATTCTCATCCGATTTACAGGTAAAGAGGAGGAGCGACAGATGTTCCAGCAAATGCAAGCCATGGCCCAAAAACAGGTAATTACTGTTAAAGTTACTTTTTTCGAAAGTTAAGCAAAATTTATCAGCGAAACGTATATTCATACAAAAATAACAAAAAAAAAATCGACAAATGCTTTTAATAAAAGATATACAAAAAAATTTAATATGAAATTATGAAATTTTTCAATGATTTCAAAATAAACACAAACTGAGTAAATTTTTCGAACCAAAGGATAGCACACTTAAAGTCGCCGCGAAAGAATCACAACTGGGCTGTTAGAAAAAAAATCCCGTTATTCTAACCTTTTAAATACTGGTTCTGCAGTTTCCCAGAATATGGTTTGATGTGATTTCGTTTTTTATTGATCTACGTTTGAATTTTTAAATTGAAGAACAAAATAATCATAATTAATAATAAATGTTTAACTTGGCTTTAAAATTATTAACGAACACACACACACATTCACAAAATGTTTTTTTTTGTCTTTCTGTTTCTTTTCGTATGAAACTCGAACTCGTTTATTGTTACTACTTTAGAAATTTGCTACGCAGTTCATTATAATTTTCTAATTACATGCTCTTACTTATATATATTACACATACATATGCGATAATGCGCCGTTATTTAGTGTAACAACAGCTATTTGCTGATAAACCTCATTATGCAATCAATCGTCCAACGCATCAAAAGTGAAGCGAACACATTTTACTCATCCTTCACTACTCATGCGATCATCAACTCATCTGCCATACAACAATCGTTATTTTTGTTAGTATGCATTTAAAAAACTTAAAATAAAAAGAATATTTGCAATATCACAATTAAAGATGCTGCGCATACATAAGAAAACACTTTTTTGTTGCTTTTTCTTCTGATTAGAACACATGCTTAGAAATCGATTCATCACATTAACTTAATATTCAGTATTCCGTCTTTATTTGGTTGTTATTACTTTCGAGATTGTTGTTGCTTTAACTTGCATCTGAAAGTGTATTTAGCGCTTAAAAAAAATTAGAAATTTGAACGAAATGTATTGCTTGCTTAACCCTTTAGTACGCATACATACATACTTCGTAGCGACATGTGTGTAAGTGTTTGTGTAGCGTTCACCCATACATGTTACCATACCTTGCGCCCCACTCCGCAGGTGATTCAGGAGAAAGTAATGAGTCAGCAAACAAATAAATAAATATTTTTACACGTACGTAGCCATGTAGGTGTGTGTGTGTGTATTGAACATATATTTTAATTTCCCTAAAATCCCTAGCTCCGAGTAGTCATCTAGCACTCGCCTTTGCATACACATTCTCACACACCCATCCACTTATACACCGGTACATAAGTAGGTTTGTAGTTTACCTAGTGCGCTGTGATATTGACATGGCAGCTACAATGCGCAGTGAACTGTTCCAGTTTCTGCATAAAAGCACACAACAACAATCACACATATCCACGTACATATTTCCGCTTTAGTGTTTACTGTACATCTTCTTAGTATATTCGTTCCTTATTACCAGTTTCTTAGCACACACACACACAATCGCGTATTTCCAATATAGTTTCAGTTTCATATTTTTTTCTTTTTGGGTATCGTTTTGCTTATCCTATGTGATTATTTGGTGCGTTTCGACTGTTTTTCGCTTCTTCACTCAACTTTGGCTCGAAGTATCTAACTACTAGATTTTCCGTGAACAAGTTCCATAAGTTTTGTGTTCATCTGCATAACAACACAATTCAATTTGATATACAATATTTCCTTGCCCATACATCCTCAGTGCTACCACTACATTCACAATCGCGCCGTATACCCGCCTGCGAAGCGCACAAGGAAGAAAAGTTAAGTAATATGTTTTTAAAAAACAACCAAAGCATCTCTGTGTTTCTAGCTTTCCCATTGCATCCACATGCACTTCAACGTGAAGCGCATTTCTTGTATTCCCTGCCCCTGAATCCCGTCCTTGATGGTTGCGTCTACATAGAAGTCTTATTCTACATATTTGTGCTTAAAAAGTTCCTCTACTCACACACACACAGATACATTTACACATATACATATATATATATATATATATAAATAATTATATACATATACACTATACGACAACTTTGTCTGTCCTTTACATTTTACACTGCTTTGTAGCAGTAATTGTTATTGTTACTTTGCTTATTGCATCGTTACACACTCTGTGTTGCATTCTTTGCCGAGTTTTTAGTTGTTGTCCTTTATTACTTTTTCTTCACTTTTAAATTTAGCGCTGCTTGGCGTAGCTTTTTGTTTTAATTTTCGCTCGATTCTTATGGTTTCTTTGCCTTTTATTATCTCCTTTGACTTATCGTGCATATTTTCCTCAGAAGTTGTTGATTTTTATCCGTTTTTCTATTTATAACAGGTTGGTTTATGTACGGTATTTCCACGTGGATTAAAATCTATTTGAATATGGAAATTTCTAATTTATTCTTAAAAGAAATGGAGCGTTCGAATTTTCTGGTGAAGAAGATATCATAAGACCATGATAAAGTGATTTCTTATTTCCCTTTAATTTTAAAGTAAAAATTCCAAAAACATATCTATATCACTGATTTCACGGGTATCTACTTTTGTATACTGTTACTTGAGTATGTGGCCTAAATAATGTTTAATCTAGATCTAGCTAGGGTATGCGGTATAGATTATATGCTGAAAATATTTCCCCTTATTCCCCCAAAACCTCTCTGTGACTCTCCCCTTTTAGCCGCTGAGCGTGTCCGGGACTGCTTACAGGTTATTCGCAGCTAATCCTTATATCTAAAGGTCTTACACTTTGAGCCTGCAGCTCAGCAATTGAAGATTATCCCGTATCCGCAACCATACTGTTTACCATATTATGGAGAAAAATAATTCTCGAAAATTTACAAAACGCTTTGAGCCTGTCACAAATGTTTAGCTGGATATTATCAGTTCCAGCCCATTCGCCGATACTTTAATCTCAGTCTACCTCAGGGGAAAAAATTATCTAGATGTCTCATCTCTCTCCCTACAATTTCGATTATTTGCGCACGGCAACACTTTTATCCTCATCATACATGTGGACACGATCTAGATAGAACTCCTATAAATGCGGCGAGATAAAATATTTCAAGAGTCAGTAGTTCAATCGGACTGTTACGGTTCCAAAAAAGAAGCGGAATTCAGAGTGTGAAATGTATTGGATTTGATGATGGCAGCACAATTGGGAGCAAGCGCACATGTACAAGTTTTGATGTGTGTTAGTTGAAGCATAACCTCTTTAAAACATCAGCTTGTCTTAGTTCACGAACGCACTGGCTGAGCAAGCAACAGCACTTTGCGTGACAACAACGGTAGGGATAAAAGGGGAAGAATATACTCGCTCGTGTCCCGTAGCTCTGCGTGATGACTGTCAGTTGGACACTCTGACCGCAGAATGAACTGCAGCCCACCGAGTGCCAAAAAGAAGCAGAGAAAACGGAAACAACTAAAAATTGGGTCACTAATAATTGCGTAGTAATAGAATATAGCTTTATGCAGCATCGGATTTATTGCCCTGCTATATGTCACTATGAAAAAAACAACTAGTGCGCTGTAATTGCGTTGCAACGAGCAGAGAGACCAAACAACAACAACAACTGCAAGAAAGTCGCCGAGAAAGTGTAAGGCTAATAAGCTTTTGCGGCGACTACTTTATATATTGTCTTAAGTTCCTCTGCAACAATGCAGTTTGGAGAATTATTGGCAATAAGGCGTTGCTCGTTTGGGCTTACTAGCTGCGTGTAACAATTTTAGCTTCATTGATGTCCCTCCTGTTGCGTGTTAGTCGCTGCTCGCACATATCCACGAGTGTGTCTTAATGAAATGCCTTTAAGGCGCAGCGTGCGGACTTATGTATACGCTATACTAAATGTCCTCAGCGACACATCACAACTTTTCATACACATATATATATACATGTGTTTGTGTGTGTATTTGTGCACTTTTCTGCTAATTTCGCTTTCCACTCGCTCCCTTGCACGCCAGTCCTTTGTCCGAGCGCTCAAGCAGTCTGTCACTTGTGAAATCATCTGACTCGCATGCAAAACTGTCGCATTGGCTTCCTTTTTATGGCGCCAACTCACTTACCGCCACCCCTTTCTCGTTCGTCACATCAAAGTGTTTTGTGCGTCGCTAACCCATCTCGAAGCCAATAATTCTACACGCAATGGCATGTTGCGTACTCAATGAAAGGGAATAGTGAAGTAATAAAATTCGTAAAAAATAAGTGAAGAATAAAAACAGATCATAGGGCACTAAAGTTAGTCAAGCGTTTCGCCATATATATTACTTATGTATGTATTGTTGTATATTTCGGCGCTGATAAGTCGAAGGACTTTTACAAAACGTAATCCAGCAGAGATGATTGCGAATTTTCCTTTAGAGAATTAAAACTTTAAGCAATAAATTTATTACAAACGCATGTGTGAACAAATATTCTATAATTTAGTTAAGGATAAAACACGATTAGTTCTGGAAGAAATAATGACTAATGAATTCGTGCGGCAGTCGGACTGTCAAAAAGACAGCGTTTTTTAAAATTATATGGGACATTTTTTTCTGAAGAGGTTACAACAAAAATCACAACACGAACCAATTATAGAGCAGGACAACTCTTAGCACTGCATTGGAAAATTTCGTTTTCGAGAACTGTTTGTCATTACTTTTATGATCAAGTTGAAAATGTTGCACATTAAGTTTAGTACTCGCTAAGTACTTTAAGACTCCTTTTCATTGTAGCTTGAAAAAACTTTTATAGACCGCCGTAATGTTAGGTTAGGTGAATAAGCTGGCTGACTGATAAACTATTTTTTTTAGTTTTTGCACGCACAAGTACATGCTTGGGTTACCCCTAAAATTCTAAATAAAATCATTCAACTACAATTTGATAATCAGTGGTAAGATATTGCTTTGTCTCTTGTATTTTTTAATTTAAGTCACTAATTTTGGATCCTGAACCTCTCCAAGGGGAATGTATTTAGATCTACATCCGTTAGAGTTGAAACGTCC